GGTGTTTGCACACGCGGCAGGGGGAGGGGCGGGCGGGCGGGCACCGCCGAGGCTATCGCAAAGCTCACGCTCAAGCGGGCGCCACGACTAACGAGGCATGACGGCGGGATTCAGCGCTGCAAATCCGTACAGTCTTCCCCCGCTACAGTGAACCCCGCACTAGCGAAAACCCTGCCTATAGCGAACGCCGCTGCTACCCCCAGTCGCTCGCCACACAAATCCACCCCGCCATAGCGAAGATTCACTACGGCTATAGCGAACGCCAAAGGCCTCTCAGATACACTGTATGCAGGCGCGCTGTGGTCAGTGCCTGTGGGAATGCTTCGGGCCCACTCGCCACGCGTGGGCCACGTGCATACAGGCAGCCAACAGCTCCTGCGTATGCACCATACCCCCTTTCGCTGCAGCATCTGCCACTGCTCTCAGAGCTGATTTCTAAGCTTGATGACGGTTGCACCCTGCTCAACTGGTGGGTCTGGCTGATGACCCTCCAGTGTCACCGGTCACCTGCGCTGCAGTGACGCCCACTCTGGCTTGACACAGGTTCAGTTCGTGACATCACAGAGATCTTCGCGTGCTGTTTGCCACAATTGCTAACACTTCAGAGCTCACAGTCTGGGCTGAGCCATGTCTGCAGAGGCCACTGTCAAGCCAAAAAGGCTGAACCTCACAGTACATCAGAAAGGTGGCAATGTGCGAATAGGGTTTAGGGTCAACACATTCCACACCAGGCCCTGGCGCACTTAGCTGGCCTGAGCAGCTTCATTGGCGATTACCCTGGTATTTTTACGCCAGAAGATGGCAATGTGCTTGCAGCATGCAGGAGTGGCTTGATACTACAGGTCCTAGTAGGGCGATTGTGGCGTCCCTGCTGCAACGCAAGCAGCAGGACATACGCAGCTTCTGCAAGCCGGCGGGGCAGCCGGCAAGGCAGCCTACCACCCCTTTGGCCCCATTGAGCTGATTTTGGTATAAAAATCACTTGCTTGGTATCTGGCTGTTGGCATATAGAGCAAAGCAGCCCTCGAATGCTGGATTTTGTGACGTCCCCCGCCACAGCGAACCAGCAGCTGCCAAATTTCACTGTTCGCGATAGCGAGCAAACCGGCTATAGCGAACGTGCCGCCGACCCCCAATGGGTTCACTGTAGTGGGGGAAGACTGTACTAGCAAAACGGGCGCGAGCAGACGGGCTGCTGTCGCCGGCTGCAGGGACCAACCCTTCAAGCCCCACCGACTGACGCGTCCGTAGTCCACAAGGCGGCCGGCTGCACGCCTGGGGCTGAAGCAAGGGGCCTGTATTGTGGCTGCCCAGCACGCGCAAAGCCTGCCGACTCCCCGATGCCAAACTCACCCGTACAACTACTGTGCAATATGCACGACCAAGGCCCGCCATGCGGCCGCCCGGGCGTCGCAGGCGCCGGGCATGCAAGGGGGTTGCCGCTTTGCCAGATTGTGAGGGGGGAAAGGGGGTTGCCGCATGCACGCGGCGGCGGCGACGGGAGCGCGGCCAAGGGTGGTTGGCGCAGGGATTGGGGCCCGGGACGGCTTGGGGGGCCCGGGACGGCTCCCTAAACCCCGCGGCAGCAGCGCATGCACACGAGCAGCGGATGCAGGCTAGAGCAGCGCCGCAAATGCGAATGTGGCATCCACATCGCCGCATCATTCGGATCATTCAGATCATTCGAAGTGATTCAGATCATTCAGGTCAACGAGGGCATGCCCCTGCGAGGCGGAGATGCCGGGCGGGGCAGCAGGGTGCGTGATGCAGTAGCATGCATGAGGAAACCGAAAAATCGCACGGCCCCGCCGCAGGACGCTGCGCCATGCACCTGGGCCGCCGAGCAGGACAAAAAGGCCGTCGGCCCCGCGGTTCGCGCGGCCCGCCTCGGCTGACGTTATGGTGGTGACGTCGCGATGACGTCTTGCATTGGGCGCTGGATGCACCGGACGCGGCCCGCGGGCGGCCGCGTCGGGCGTGCTGGGTGCCGTGTGGCCCGTCGTGCGCAGACGCCACAGCCGGCACCTTTCGCGCCAACGGCGAGGTGATCTGATCCGATCTGATCTGATCTGAGCGCGTAGAATCAAACTGTGATTGTGAGGTAGGGGTGCCACTCCCACGGCGCCGCCGGCGCCCGCCACCACTCCCGCTCCGCCTCCGGAAACTGCCCGAACCACTGGCACCCGTGCTGCGCGCCAAACGCCGCGCTCACATTGGCGATGACCGCGCCGCGGAGCGCGGCCTGCAGCGCCGGCAGCGCGCCGCCGCCGTCGTGCTGCAGCTGCAGCAGCGGCAGCACGAGCGCGCGCAGGCGCGTCAGGCGGCACAGCCCCTGCCACCCAATGACCTCCGCGTTCGACCGGCCGTCCAGCATTAGATACTCCAGCCGCCCCAGCGCGCCGAGCGGCGCCACGTCAGAGCGGGGCAGCAGCGTGACCGCCAGCGCCCGCAGGGCGGGGAGCGCCCCGCCGATCGCAGACGCGCCGCTGTTGCCGACGCCGGCGCCGCCGGCGGGGGACTCTTTGATGACGAGGGTGGAGAGGCCGGGCCAGCAGCGGGCGGCGCGCCAAACGTGGGGGTCTGTGGTGCGGCAGAGCAGCAGGCGCAGGTGCCTGTGTGTGTTTGGGGGG